TTGAAGCCGCCCGAAGTCGAGGCGGGCTGCTAGCATTAAATAAATTTAGTATAGACAGATAGGTCATATCTAAGTTTATAGCCCACTTAATGGAAAGTGGTAACCGACGCCTATAGCTATAAACATAACAATACATCTTATCCTAAATAATGTGAGCAGAGGCGCGGAAAGTAGCTAGTATACCTGTACTAGCTATTATAATAAAAAAATGGAGATTAAATGGAGCTTTGGGAAAAGGTATTGTTAGTAATGGGTACTCCATTACTAACAACTCCTTTCTTTATAAGCCGCCTTCCTTATATACAAAGGCCTCTATACTACTACTGATATTAATAGATTAATAGTTTTATTCCAGTTCGCAAAAAACTGGTTTAAAAAATTATGACAAAAAACTTGATTGGAGTTAATGCTGTTCTCGGCCATAGCAGTGGTCACGCAATTATAAATTGTGGTTTAGTCTATTTTGTACCAAATATTCACGCATTCATTGCCATTTTAGGTTAAATATCATTGTAAATAATTGCAAACAATAGTGCAATCGTATGAAGAGACCCTGAAAATATCACACGCGATAGAGATTATGATATTAACTTTGGTTCATAATTTACAAATATGGAGGACCATACCTACACATAAAAATAATGTCTCGTTATCCAAATTTGATGTTTTTTTTTGTATATTTTTGGTACGCGATATTTTTATTAAATTACATTAGTAAATAAATACAAATGAATGAAGGTGTTTCAGAATTAAAACATATTTCAGAATCAGTGTTAGTCAATGAGGAAGCCTTATGTTCAGCACTAGATAGTTAACTGTGAAATCATTATGATGATGTTGATAATAAACATGGCACACACAGGCTTGCACAGAATTATATAGATGTTTAATTTTATAAACGTACGCCTCAAGTACTGTACGCAGTATATATTAAAGATTATACTTTGTAATAGTACTACTGCCTACTTTGGTTTTGCTTTGCTAATGCTGTTGAAAGTATAGAACACGCGACGTCCGCACCGCGTATGACCCCCTTAGCTGTAACAGTAACGGGTTGCTAACCGTTGCGCGGCAGATGTATCGCTTGCGGTATTACCCGCACAAGTTATATAAGTAAACTAAAGATTGAGTAAGTACAGGGTTAGAATGCCGTGAGATAGGTGAGGTGTAGTAACTGCAGGTGTTATAGTTTGATGATATTAAAATATTATATGCATCATTAGTCTAAATGTCAAACCTTAATGAACTCACACACGCCCAGTTATTAAAGATTTTTCAGTAAATCTCTTAGGAAAAAAATATTTTCACCAATATAATTAAGACATTAATTTTACAAGAAACGCTTTGTAATTAAAGCTATTAAGTTACTTGAAACAAGCTAAGTAAAGCAAAAATTCAAAGTTTGAAATTAGGAGTTTCGGGTGTTAGTTTATAAATTAATTAAGTTACACAGCTTAGTTGCGGTGTGTGAACTTAGGTAAAGCCAAAGTTCGAGGAATATGTACATAGTAATGCACTTAGCACAACATTCTAATGATTATGCTCATGAATAATAATATTGATGAGACAATAATTATAGTTACGTTACTAATCTATATTTCATTCTACTGTTTTAATCTTTATTTAAGTAAATTTAGCGAACATATCTTTATAAAAAAAATTATATCTTTATATATATGTATATATATAAAATTTTCTTCATCTTTATAAAATTAGGAGTTTGCCCTAACGATAAGACCGCCTTTTGTACCTTTATGTGTATATTTCAATGTGTATTTATGTTACTGTATTTCACTTGAACTATTCACTTGTCATTGTATAATTTTATTTATGGTGCATTTATTGCATGAATTGAAATTGAATTAAATAAAATAAATAAATAATAATAAAATCACTTTATACTATATTACTTTGTTATGTCCATGGAACTGTTCATATCTATAGGTAACAGTTATCATTATCATATGTTTTGTTGAAATACCTATAGATATTTCATGTGTATTAACAATGTGATATCCATAGTTAAATACCTATATGGATGATTACCATTTTCTGTCAAATGGGTTAAAATTGGTAAAAAAGAATAGTCCTAGTCACGTTTTATATTTGGTTTAAAATAAAATTCAAGCTTAAATATTTCATAAAATGTTTTGCAATATTTGTGTTTTATATTATATATTTATGAAATTTTAAGTGGCCCACTTATCACCAACTATCTCTATTGTTTGCCATTTATTGGCAAATTACCAGAATCGTACTTTCCATGCGGGTTCGTTGTTTGTGCGGTGGGAATTTAAAAATAAACAGCATAAATTTTTTGCTGCTTTATAATAGTTACAAATGAAATAATTATCGTCTATTACTTATTTAATTTTAATGAATTGGTACTAAATTCCCCTGAACTGAAGTGACATAAAACGATAGTGTTATATTTTTGTGTAACGAGGGACAAGTTTGAAATAAAAACCTATTATTTATTTTTTTATTTGTATACTTTTATTATATTTATCTTTGAATAGTATAAAGTAATTGTGTTTTTATTGAACTATTTTTGAGTCATCCATTAGCAATGTTTAGAATAAATTAACTAGTAAATATTGTATTCATATATGAATTAACAATTAATGTCATGAATCATCAATGAAGGTAGAATGATATCGAAGGCACGACTACGTAAGTTAGTAATTCTATTATAATTCATTAAACATCGGTTTTTAATCATTATTATACACAGAAGTAACTTTTAAAAGTATAATTTTTTTTTTTTTTTTATAAAACTTAGAATGGCAAACAAGCTGACGGCCCACCTGATGGAAAGTGGTAACCGTCGCCTATAGACATGAGCAGTACCATGGACATAACAGAGTATACTGTTTCGTCCATGATACCCCCATGCGTTGCCATTCCTGAGGACTCAGGTGTTATTCCTCTGTACCCAATAAATTCACGCCATATCCCACCCTTCAAACCGAAACACAGCCATGCAAACACAACTGCTTCACGGTTGAAACACGAATGGGACAGAGGTACCCAAGCAATCGACAAATAATAATAAATATAAAGGTAATAATCATAATAAAGGTAATAAACAATAAATATCAAAAATGTCCTTACATTTTTGATATTTATCGAAAATTCGAAGGAATATTAATTTTATTCTGTTGCAATTCTCTAAGAACTTTCAACAATATTTAACGCCGATTTTAGTTTGGAGTAAAATAATTTTTATTTTGCAGTGGAAAATGTATAATTATAGCAAGAAATAATGCGGGAACGGGGCGATTATGAAGCAATATTGAGCAATTAGCTGGCGAGCTCGTTCCAGCCGGCAGCCGGTGCAACAGCCGCTTAGCCATCGACTACGTTTGTAGTATTGAACATCCATAAAATTGCAAGATCTGTTTCAAAACTTCGCTTTTTATTTTATATGCACTGCAGCATTTCTTATTTTAAAAGAATGTTCTGTTTTTACTAATGTTTCTGTTCCATGTTCGAATGTTGATTTAAAAGGTATAAAAGATGTTGATAATTAAAAAATAAAAGTTTGTACTACTCTTTGCATTTATAATGAAAGTAGATTGTTTATACTTTAAAAATTACATAGTTTAATTGCAGAAAGTTTTGTAACAATATCTTAAGTATTAATAGAAAGAAAATGAATAATAACAAGAAAGTAATAAAATAGGTTGAGTAATCTTATATTTTATTTTTACTGCGAGTAAAAATAAAATACATGTATAACGATGTATTATATTGAAAGTGAAGCATAAATAAGAGATGTTAAGTGATTGTAATTATAAATAGAAAGAAATCTTGTCATCAAAAATCAAAATGTAAAAACAAATGTAAATCTCTAGAAAGCGTTGCGAATGTTTCTCATTTGAAAAATATCTGCTTCGTTGAATTAAGTTATTAGGTAACGTGTTTAGATAGGTGCAACGAGTTTAAATGAGCTGGAGTTTATATTAATGCAGTTTTTAGAAATTTATTTTAAATATAGTATTTAGTTTGTTAGAAATTTTATAATATAAAGGAATAGAACCAAAATGTATGTTTATCATGATTGCGCTTTAGGAGAAAGCATCAGTTGAGGTTATCTCTATTAAAATACAGAAATAAGGGGATGCAGCGAGGCGCGTCGTGACTATGGTACAGCAGGCTGGTGGGGGAAGGGGAGACCGGTCCGCCGTCAAGATGTCGTACTGTCCCCGTTTGCCTTGCCTTATAGTGTTGTTGTTTATTATAGTGAGAAATTCAGTAAATGTATGTATACAGGAAGGCAGAAAGGTATGACCATATAAGTACTAATGCATTGAATTATAGTTAAAGATAAGAGAAACATTATTAATTAAATTAAGTGATAATATTCTTTTAAGATATTGTGTACTGGCAAAAAGGTTTACTCAACTAACGTTTACGAAAATATATTATTATTCTATTATTAGTTGTATATCTACCTAATAATATTTATTGAATTTTATAAAATACACTTTTAGGCGGTTAACAACATATTATAAAATTAAATAACATACAAAATATCTGAAGTATTGATAATAGTTAAAAGTAAATTATAAATTAAATTAAAACCAAAACGTTGCGAATTTTTAATAGGAACGCTATAGCTAAAATAGTACGCGGCGCGTTGATGTCTTCAGTTTGATAGCATAATCTTCCGTTTTCTTAGTACTTAAAGTTGACAAACAAATGGTTATAAGCACGGCGTTGTCAACGTTCACATTTGAACAGAGCATTAAGATCGCGTCGAAGCTGATAAAAGATCACTTAAAATCTCAGAGATGGAAGAAAGTTGCCCAACCGAAAGCCGTCCGGCAAGATCGGAATTTTGGTCGTACACGTATTAGCGACCCGGCGGCGCGCCCACCTGTTCACCACACCTGAACTAAAAGTGTGTCAGCTCTGACTCCTCGAACTCAACGATCGATCGTCACAACTTTCACATTACCTTAAATTAACACTCGACCGAGCGCAATGATACGTACAGATAATGCATGCTCAACACTCAAGGTACCTTTCGTATTTCCCCGGCGTTCCAATGTAAAAATCCGGTTATGCACTATCAGGGGATGGGGTTAATGCACGGGCACTGTGCTGTAACACAAAAATCACTACACTTGAGTCACAAGGTCTGTCACATGGTCGGCAGGCCAGTGCGGTCGCGACGGCCGCCAGGTAGGCACTGAGGCTTTCTTTGAGACGACACGCGCGGGCGCAGGTAAGAACGAGACTACGGTGCTTACACAAACACAAGGAAACTATTGCCGATGTGTGCACTCTGTATGTCGCCAGGGAGTGATTTGACAGGGAATAACTTTGAAGAATACAAATTAACAAGTCCGTTGAATACGGACGGACTCGTTAATTTATATAAGAGGAATATGTCTTTCTATTATTCACTGTCCGGTATCAGAATACGTATTTCACGGTTTAGTACCATATTAATATTTTATTTTATTTTTAATGGATTTTTTTATATTTGAGACAGAAGACAAGAATTTTTAAAATTATAATGGATACATGAGATTATTTTTTTAATATAATATATGATAATGGAATGATAACCCTGGCGGGGTACGGTATATGGCGGTATACGCTGGTGGGGCACCACTGAGGGATAATAAGTAAAGAATAAAACAGGTACGTTAGCACATCTTAACAGATTATTTAAGATTAAATCACGACGGTTTCCAGGGAGAACCGTGAGAAGGTCGACCTGACGGACCCATTGACAGCAATGTACTCTACATTGCTGTCAATGGGTCCTTTAGTCCCCATTACTAACAATCAGTTTCTCGAGATGATTTATTGAATTGAGAGACGTATGCAATATATAATGTAAGGACGGAAGTGGCCATATAAATAATTTTGTAAGGATCTGAAAGCATATATAACTATCATAGCTAGCAGAGGTAAAGTATTAGATATAAAATAGATACCCTAACTTCTGACGAGAATTACATGCATAAAATTTCTTGTACTATTTATGCCTTTTAGTAATATTGCTTTATAATATAATGGTAACTTTGATTTATGCGATGATCCATTTAATGACTAAGTAAGAATATTACCACTACTTTTCGTCCTCAGGATATAGCAAGAGATAATTAAGAAAATTAGTGCAATAAAAGGAAAGTTAGATATAAAAAATTATATCACATCACCTTATTATAGTAATAGCGATGATAATTAGCTGATCATTAATTTAGTTTTATTATGGTAAGGTTAACGTAACCTTGACATGCTTTAAGATGACTTGACATAAACTTTTCTGTTTCTAGTTATTTAAATATATTTATAGTTATTTATTCTACATTATTCAATCAATATGTTTATGGTATTACATTTACATGTTACAGTTATAGCACATACACAAGATGGGTCTATCTTCCGACACACTGTGCAGACTGTGCGGGGAGAAATCGGAATCCATGGAACACTTGATGTGCAACTGCGATTCGTTGGCAAGTATGCGTATGAGTCTACTGGGAACGGCTTATCCAGAACCAGGGGACTACAGATATCTTAAACCGCGGGATATCGTTAGGGTAACACATAGGATCTATGAAATGATGGTATAGGGCAGGGGGAAGCACAAAAAATCCGTATGGTTCGACGTGCATCAGCTTAGCTGACCCCATATGCGAAAAATAAGATACATTTACGTGTAGTTATTTGCTATATTTCAATTTCATGGGAACATCTACGTATATTGTATATTATTATAACATATTCTATATTAGTAAAACCATATAAATACATTTTAAATTTGTAAAAATATTGCAAACCTAAATATATTTCAATGCACCGTAAGATTTGGAACAGTAACCGTAATAATGCGTATCTTCTATACGTATATTATTACTTTTATATTAGTTTTTTTGCCCGCTATTTCATTCTAGTAGATTTTAGAAGTAGTAAAACCAAGTTAGTACATCTTTTTTAGATAACGTATCAAGATGATCTGTCTGGCATCACGCAGAAATTACTGCACTAAATTGGATGTAGTTTTTACAGTTGTTTCCCGGTGTCTAAATTAAAAACTGCATAAATGTACCCACGTTCGAAATAGCAGGTAAAAAGTTAGTGTCAAATAAGTTGAAATAAGATCACTACTCACTTAATGATATTAAGTAGATATACTTATAGACACAAATATAATATTGGATATAACGAAATGTATTGATTCAACCATGGCGCCCGTCATGATAGAATTGTGATACTATTGAAAATAAAGATGTTGTATCTATAACGTACATCTTTCGACAAGCAATTATATTATCCTAACTATGTGGTCTCGACAAAGAATGGGCTATCCCTTCCTTTCCCGTGGAGGTGTGGAGTGGTTTCCCTTTTTCCCTTAGTCGCCCCTTATGCCTAAGAGGCGATTAAGCGAACTTAATGATCGAAGGATGAGCAGCAGCATCCTTCTTAAAATATCACCAAAAGCCTAACTGCGGTTGCCAATCCACCTACCAAGCATGGCAACTAGCAACACCGCCCTTATGGAAGAGGCCTACGTTCCGCAGTGAACAGTTAATGGCAATTAACGTAGATAATGATATTGATTCTTTTAAACTTTAATACTCAAATTATTTAACATATCAAAAAACTTATATAATAATATAACAAATTGCATACTTTTACCGATAATTATACTGTGGACAATTGACTCAAGAATGTGAAACTTTCTCCGGCGCGTACATTGATTCATGTCATGACGTCAAACTCTCTCAGCAAGTCATTCAATAAGGATGTGTGTCAGCATATTGAATAAAATAAGTAAGTACGTTGGTAAGTATAAACAGTACTGTTAGTGCTAGAAAAATGGTTTTAATTCGTGGTTTTTCCTAAGTTGAATAAGTGCGTTTTAATTAAGGATATGAATCACCTGGCGTTTTTACAGAATTTTACTTTTTTAAATAAGTTGAATGTTATGTTTAAGCATGATAGCGTAACAAAAATTTGTATAACCAAGTATTTTTACAATTTCCTCGTTTATTTGCTAAGTTAATTTTTTATTCGTGTAGGTAATTATAGTAAAAGAAAACTGAGTATGAATTCGAGATATAATCTATTTATATATTAAATTTCATTTAAATTCGTTCAGTAGTTTAAGTGTGATTGAATAATAATCTAAAAAATTTTATATTTTAATACGAGTATGATTAATTGTCGAAGCAGATACGTTCTGGATTGGAGATCGCGAATTGGTAAGTGTAGTGTAGGCTGATCCGCGGCTAGGCGGAGCGAAAATATATGTAGGATTGCGGGTAGACTGGCAGAGAAGAGCCGAAGATCATACTCAGAGGCCTATGTCCAACAATGAAATACACTAGACTGATTGCGACGATAATGATAAGCAGGACCATTATCTAAGAAATTTTGTTCAGAAACGACTGATATTATTTCAAGATGAAGTATTTCAAAAAGAATACAAGATAGTATCTATCGCTATATTGCGTCTGTGACATTATTAATGTTTATTTTTATAAAAGTATACTAAGTAAACAAGCAATGTTTGAAATAATAAATATCTAAATAAAATTCCTTGTTATGTTGTATATGTCCTTGTTACCCACTGCTGTCTAAATGATCTATGGTCGGCGATAATGGCGCCCGCTTTTGGATAAAAATACAGAAACATATAAACCTATGTATTGTAGCCATCCATATAGGGCGTCGTTTGTAAGAGTCTTTTTAGCAGATAATGAATTATATTGTTATTTATACCATGACTACATTCGTGTACAATATAATAAACTTCTGCCATGTTTAATTTTGCATAATGGTGTAAGTGTGAAAAAATGTGTTATATGTGGATTGTAATATTTTTTTACACCAAGGTGGCAAGCAAGCATACAGTTCGTATATGATGGTAAACGGTTATTGTAGCCTATGGATGCCTGCAATACTAATACTGAGTCTCACGTGCGCGTTGCCACTATATTTTTTCAATCATAAAACGAGTACTTGGCAATAATTGAAAACTTAACTTTTATAGAATAGAAATATGGACACATAATTAGCTATAAAAATGTCAGTACAGTAAATCCTGTCCTTTTTATGTGAAATACTAACACAAAATTACCAACATATATAGGCGTACTAATGAAGTAAATGAAATAAAATCTTCTGTTTATTAAATATTAAAAAAAGACACTTTTGTTTATAGTTTTTATAAACATTTTCTTTCATAATTGTTTTAATACAATAACTAAATTTGCTAAATAGTTGCAGACGTTCTGAAGCGATGCGTTATATACAATCGAAAATTGATTTGTATTTATATACATAGTGGTAGTTACATGTAACAACCGAGTCACTGCAATTCTATTGATTTTATTTTAGTTTGGACAGCTTTACTTCTGAAATTGTGTGTTATTAATGCTTGAACAGATTTATCTGCTGTCAGTGCAAATAAAGCTTCAGGTACATTCTCCCCGACTTTTTAAAAATCTAATTAATCATTTAAGATTGTCTAAATTAGTTCAAGCTGTTATCTTATACTGCATTTACTTGTATGAGTTTGCCTCAATCTGAATATTTCATCACCATTAACTGTCAGTTCTAGGAGTTAAATATCTTGTATATTTATTTAAATGAAATTGTTGGAAGAAAAAATTCTACCTCTGAAGTTAGTACAGATAATACATATACATAATTTCATTAAAATCGGTTTATTTATTATATAGAGAAAATTAGCGTTATGGAATATCGTGATACGGAATTTTTACATATTAAGATTAATAATATTCTCTTGGGTTATCTATTATATAAATAATAACTTAAATATAAGCTGTACGAGTATGTGACAGAATTTATTTATATGGACATATAATATGACATACGAGAAAGTTAAAACGTCAAGGGACCGACTTATATATTAGGATTCTAAATGAGTTTTGAAACTATGTTGGGTGCTTTCGGTCAAATCCCTAGTTAAAGTAAACTACTTTATATGAATATCAAGCGCTAAAAGTTATGGAATTATAAAGTAAATTTACTGCTTGGATAGATTAAAGTCTAAAAAGTTAGGTTTTCAAATCCTTTAGTAATCTTTTAAGTATGATGGATGGAGGGTTGGACATGGATTTCAGTTGTCTAAGACAAATTAGAGACTGGAGCAATTTCTCAGTTTCTACAATAATAGAATATGACTTGATAAATTATTATATAGTGCATTAGGTCACAGAATATATTCAGATTTTCA